CACAATTATATAATTAAATAATATACTCATAGGAAACAACTGAAACAGAACTAAACCCATATTACAAACGGAGGCTTGATGAAGTTTGCAAATGGACACTAGAAGGAACTAAAGGACCAGGCAGAAAAGAGTTAAAACGGCTAAGATAACTATAACTTTTCTTATCTCAAAGAGTTTTTTGATGACTGGACTGAGATATTAATACTAAAATCAATAAACTTTTAGAAGCAATGAGAAAAACTTTTAAAAACTTTTACCTGACACAGACATTATAGAGTTTGAAGGCATGGAAGACAACAAAATTGAGATTACCAAAATGGGAATACAAAATGGAAGACAACAAAATTGAGATTACCAAAATGGGAATACAAAATGGAAGACAACAAAATTGAGATTACCAAAATGGGAATACAAAATGGAAGACAACAAAATTGAGATTACCAAAATGGGAATACAAAAGACAAATCAAGAAAAGGATCTGAACATGGAACAACTTCTATAAGAAATCCTGGACGATGCCTCTTTATGGGATTTACAAAGTAGGCTAGTGAAAGCTGTGAAGACTCCTCTTGAATATGGATGAAAGATCAAATCCTGTGATGCCATTGGAATGATTAAAAATTAAGCTGTGAAGAGCAAATAGAAGGAATATGAAGTTGGAGTATTTGATCAGGGACAAATTACTTGTTTGATATTTCTGGTAACCCCTAATGGACTTTTTGCTGAACCAGGACTAAAAAGATGATGATTTCTGGATTGTGTATAAATTAAAGTTAGACTATGGGGAGAAAAGTTTTTTTTTTTAATTTGTAACTTTAAAGGAGGGTGAAAAGTTATTATATTAGCTTATGCTGGGTATATTGAAGGCTGGAAGCAACTTCTTTATTACTGTCTTTGTTGCCTTTTTCTTTTCTTTTCTTTTTTTCTGCACCTTCTGAACTTTTCTTTTTCTTTTTTCTTCTAGTTTAGTTTGTATTAGTTTTTACTATGTTTGTTAAAAATGTCAACAAAATTATAAAAAAAGAAAAAGAAAGCAAAGATATGAGAATTTGACATCTTCTCTCCAAGAAAGAATGATCAAATACAGGTAAGCTATTCCATTTCACCCAGATGTTTTTATGGATGATGGTAAAGTTTGTATACTCGACCGAGTAAGCTAATAAAAGCTTTGAATCATTAACAGAAACAGAACACACTAAAGAATTATTCAGGACAGAAAGAAGATCAAAAACTGGATGAAGCAGCAACTCTTCTTTCATAAATTTAATTGATAATTGATGTCATGGATCAAATCAAAATATTAATAAACTGAATAGACTATTTAATAGGAAAAAAATTTATGTAGGAAAAACGTGATGCGCTGATATCCGTAGTACAACAGAGAACAAGGCAGGGGTTTTAACAAACCATAATCTAAATCTGAGTCAGCATTGTGATGCAGAAGCTTAAAAAAACAACAGAATTCTAGACTGCATTAATGAAAGTACAATGTTCACAAGCCATAATGATTAAAATGCAAGAAACAAAATAGAATGCTATCAAGAGAACAAAAGTCAGGCCTGTGATACCATGTTTCAATTTCACCCCACCTCAGTCATAAAAATTCCTACCTTTTTTTCTCCTTGGAAGTTATCAGAAACTGATAAAGTAATAGGTTTATTTTTACATGAATTATTCTGAGATGACCTTTCAGTTTACAGATCACATTGCACAGATCAACTAATCTGACCAAATTCATTTCAAATCTGACAAGGAGACAAAGAAAATTGTAGGTTTGATTCACATAGCTCAAAACGCACAGAATCAGAAAGAGACCATTTAGGCCATCAAGTCCAATACCCTGCTCAGTGAGGGAATCCAAAATGAAGTATCTACAACAGATGGTTTCTCAGCCTTATTTCAAACATATCCAATGAAGGGAAACAGGTTAATTCTCTGGGTAATAGTTTCCATTGTCAAACTGCTTTTACTGTTAGGAAGTTTGTTCCAACATTCAATTAGAATCTGCCTTCTTAAAAGGTATATTTTGGGTCATACACTCTGGAATGATGAAGAAAAGGTTTTCACTCATTTTAAAGGTCATAATCATTGACAGTCTCTACTGCCACAATATTTATAATCAAATTCTACAAATTACACTGTAGAATTGTGTGAAATAATCCAGATGTTTTCTTCTGCACAGACAGTTTCTAGTTGATAACACAATACTCTTTGCAATATTATGGTTTTTCACAACTTTTGATAAAACTCTCAGTGAATATTTATCTTACATTACCACCTGCTTATTAATAGTAAGCACATCAGCTACTGAGGGCACTATCACTCAAGGCAAAGTTTCTTACTCAGAAATCACTACCATACAGAGAAGTATTGAGATCAGAAGCATATTCTGTCACATGCTATTTCACCAGATATGCTGGGAAACCACTGCCAATTGTAGCTTCCTATTGAGGTTGTGCAGTGATTATCATAATATTGATGCAGATTCCCCATTAAAAATATTTCTGAATAGGAAATGCAGTTTGTAATCAGCCTGTAAATAAAGTGAGATTACCTCACAATAGTGCAAGTTATTCCAGGCCAAACCTAAGTACCAAAATAGAAAAATAATACTACTAGAATGATTTTCGCTCTTTTAACACAAGGAGTTACAAAATAATTATACGCTGCTCAATAAAATGAAATAATTTAGAATACACTTTTTCCTGGATACATAAATTAAAGCACTTAAAATACAAATTTAAATATTTGTTCATATACTGACCAAGCCCCTTGGGGTATAGGCAGATAATAGTTCTTAACAGTTGGATAAACATAATCAGAGCTCTGCTGAATTTCCAAAATGGAGCCAAAACTATCAGCTGCAAGTACCACTTTGCCTGTAATACTGCTTCTTCTAAAATATGAAAAACTAGGAATGTTTTCATTAATCAGTATTTACCATAGTAATTTTATTTCAGCCTATAACATTTTAGACCTGCCTTAGTTATTTACTACCTTTAAAAAGGTGGGGAAGGGTAGAGTTTAAACTGATGAAAAAACTAACCTTACTTAAAACCAATTACTATTCACTTAAAACCAATTATTATTCAGCACAAGTAACCAAATGGATTAGTATATACAAATATTACAAGAGCAACTTTACAAATAAGAAAAACAGATTATTTATGTATCTATCTCAAAAAGAAATACTACCGTATGAAGGAATACCTGATGAAGACCAAACTGCTACCTAATGTTATACAAGAATATAAAAATGAAACTAAAAGAATTACAATTACAAGAAATCAACTGGAAGTGATCCAACAGGCTATCTAACTTCCTGAAATTTGTATGCTAATTTCTCCATGAAATGAATTTCACAAAAACAAGGTCAGTGTAGGACAAATTCCACAGGGCAAGTCATAAAACATTTCATGCAATGATCCTCAAGGACATCCAATTGTAACTTAGATTGTTGATGTTCCATATAATACTTTGAAGAGGGAGAAATCCTGTAACAGAACTACTCTTTCCATACAGGTCTTTTCCATTCAGTTACAGAAGTAAGACTGTATTCATTACTAGCCTGACATGCAGAGCAATTTTGACACTAACGAAATTAGGATTGACCACCACCTTCCAGAACAATGAAAAATAAATATATCACTACATAAAGCATACAGACCACAAGAAGGAACTAATTACAATAACAGTATACAATGAAACAGCATTCAAAACCAAAACAATGCCTAACGAGACTATCTGCAAAACGTAAAGCCTAATTTTTTAAATCAAATAATGAAAAATATTAACTGGACTTTCAGGGCAAATTTAAAATGGGGAGTGATGGGAGGGTTGTAAACCAAGGGGAAATTGTGAACCGATAATCTAAGGGCACCTCTGCTTTCCAGTTCATCTTCTCCTAACCTTAACGCGAGAGAGAGAGGATATTCACGGAGAGTAGCAACACACCGCTTTTCTCTCTTCTCTCGGACAGAGGGGGAGGTACACTCGTGCGAGGGGAAGAGAAGAAAAGGACGCGAGAGCACCAAATACCCCGAGTCAAATTTCCTTCTTCCCGGACGATCAGAAAGTGAGTTTGGAAACAAACGAGCCAACTGGCAGGATTCCCATCTGCGGCTCAGATCACTGCAGCCTACTTTAACTCTTCGGTTGGTCCAAGCACCTGTTGCTTCCTCGGAGCTGCTGCCTGAACTAACCAAAAGCCGGAGGCTGCCCGTTTCTTCAAGAAGGGCAGGATTTCCCTAGGGGACCGCCCTCTTCCTGCTGCAGCTACTTCCCTCTTCGTCCCGTCCCCATACCAGGTCCTCCTATCTCTCGCTTTTCCCTGAAGGGACTCGGAGCCTCAGAAGAGCAGATGTAGCGGAACAGGCAGGAAGCCCGGCTGAAAGATGCGAGCAATCGGTCTCGCCTCCGTCTCTCCCCTGGCAAAACGGAACCCAGCTGCTCTAACCCCCATCTGACGGGAGTGACCGGAAGTGATGCATTAAAAGCGGGACACACGTGCCGCGCGGCGGAAGTACCTGAAGGAGACGGTTTGGTGGTCTTGCTTACCCCGGTTGCTGTCGTGGGAGGTGTGAGATGGTGAGTATCGACCTTTGAACATAGAGTTATAATCCGCGCAGCTCGGTTAATGGCTCGACTGGCTCGACATATGTATGACCTTAAGGTAGCGCTTATCTCGGGTACGCCAAAGCAGTTCTCTTAAGTTCTTTTATTGGATTCGTACAGCTCGCTATTCTGTTTTGTGGCTTGGTGTGAACCCAGCGTTTCTTTCCCTGTCTCATTATTGTATTTTAACGCTTTCTGAGAGAATGTGAATAATAGAAATAAATGGGTGTATATAGAAAATATACATCTTCACCAACTCCCACCCTACCAGTCATCCTGGAGAGTGCAGAGGGTGCATTGTGTCATTCCAATCAGTTAGTTGCCAAAATATGGAGATTTAAGGTGTGGTATGCTGGCCACAATGTACCAAGATTGATTGACATAATGTCCTTACTGTTAATAGGTAATAGTATATATGTCATGGGTGCAACTAAGACTGGTAACCTAGTCTTCACTTTTTTATCTTACTAAAAATAATTATGCAAAAGCTTCAGTTGACCAAAATCATGATGGGTAACAGAGGTCAATATTTATGGGCCCTTCTGATGACAAACATAGAAGACTGGAAGAGTAATGACAGATTCTGAATGTGGGACAGACCATATTTGGTAGTGGATCTTCAGGGGGAAAATGTATAAGGAAGAAAAAGAAACAAGTGAAAGGAACTAGAGTGATAATAGAAAGACTATAGGAAGAGAAAGTACAAGCCCTGTATGGAAAAGCATTGGAAGAGATTATTCTCTCAACAAAATGAACAGTGGGTGGATATAATGAAAGAAAATGTAGAAACTGCTTGGAACTGAATGAAAAGAATTATGTAACAGACTGCCACAGAACTTTGTGGAAATACACTAATAGGAAGTATGAAAAATTATGCATGCTGGAGAGAAAGAAAGTGTGGATGACAAAAATGCATATAAGAGAATGCTGCAAAAATGAGGATGAGAAAAAATATTGTTTAATGTATATGTGTATGCATATACATGTAGAAAAAGATAGCTGTAAATAATATAGTCAAAGAGTAAGGAACAGAGTGATTTTCATAGAAATAATAGTTTTGGAAATGAATAAAAAGACCGAACAAGGAGCTTCCACCAGAGTATATGGAATTAATAAAAATGATGAAATAATTTTGGCTGAAACTGACTTGAGGGAATGCTGAAAGTATTTTAGAAGTCTGTGTGGAAACAGTAGTGATGTATCAAAGAAAGGAGTAGAAACGAATGCTATAAATGTTAGTATCCAAGAAAAAATGCTAAAAAGGAATCATAAATGTTGTCAGAATGTTGAGAAATGTTAAGTCTTTAGATAGAGCAAGTATAACTGGAGAAATGTTAAATATGGATATTGTTTGTAAACAGTGGCTGTATGATGTGTTTAATGTGTGTGTGTGAAGACTGTATCTCTGCCTGAAGTTTGGGAAAAATAACAAGAGTCAATATAAAAATTATAGGGGAGTGGTTTATGAAGTATGTTTCAAAAGGTGTTTGGTTTGGTAGTTTTGGACTGAAAGAGTACAAAAGTGACAGTGAGCAAAATTTGGGAAATGCATTGTGGCTTTACCTTGAGCAGAAGATGTGCAGACCAGATTTTTGCTCTTCAGAAAATCACTGAGAAATGTATGAATGTGAAAAAAGTTTATTGCGTGTTTGCTGATTTAGAAAAAAGAATATGACAAACTGAATAGGGTTGAATTAAGTTGCATATGCAAAGAGAAACATAAAAGATTACATACACTGGAAATAGGTAACTTAAGGAATGTGTGCGTAAAACAAGAAAAGGTAGAGTCAAGAATGAAAGAGGATTGAATGAAAATACAATTGAGGTGGCTTGGTCATATAGAGAGAATGAATAGGATCTAATCACAAAACAAGTGTATGAAGTAAGAGTGAATGGATTGAGCAGAAGGGAAAGACACAAGGACAGTTTGCAAGGATGGAAATGCATTTAAAGATATAGTGAATGGCATTGGTATAAACTAGATTTAGCTATATATCCTTTTCTTTTTATCTTTTAGGTTTAATTTCTGTGCCTTACTATTTCTTACTTCCTTTCCATTATAGGTATTTATGTGTGGATTTCTAACCTTAGGCAATGTACATCTGTTCAGGCAATAGGATTATTTATTTATTTAACTGCTATTCTCTCCTCACTGATGCCTCAGATCTGGTCTGGGCAATTTCCTAATGCTCCGGAGTGAATTTGGGGCATGTACAAGGTATGGTATTATCAGTCCAAACCCTATACAGAATGAACTATTTCAAAAGAATTCATTTTTTATTATGAAACTGAAGAACAGAATGAGAATCATGCCCTTTCATCATTAAGTATCCACAGTTAATCTGCTAGGTAAAAACTTAAGTTTTGGAATCAGTCTGAGAAATTAAGTTTTGTATTGTAACAGTGATGAAGGCTTTCCATCACTTCTTCAGAATACTAATCTATTATTAACTTTCCCTTTCTAGGGTAAGCAGAAAAAAGCAAGGAAATATGCTACCATGAAACGCATGATCAGCCTTCGTGATCAACGCATGTGAGATTTTTGTTATCATTGAACAGTGACAGTTGTTGAAGCATTTAGCACAAAATGCTCATTTATACTAAAGTTATATGTATGATCCTATTTCTTCCCAAATTTCATCTCTAAGTAATTCAATTTTCTGATAGTATATATTTGTAAATCTTTTCATATTTTAGTAAAGAGACAGACAGAGCAAAACCTAAAGAAAAGAAGAAAGAAGATCCCAGTGCAATCAAGGAGACAGAAGCGTGAGTACCAAATGATTCCTGCCCTTATGGAATAATAAAAGAAATTTTGTGAGATATACTAAGATCTAAGTTCAAATATGTTTCTGTGCAATTTTGGCAGTAATCATTGGAACTGATTAATGTGTTTTAAAGAGTTCATAATATGCTGTTTAGCTCCAGTGCAATAGTCATTCTTTCACAGAAAGGACTACACTACAAGGTTAGTTAGTCCAATTCCCAATGCATAAACCATTCTTTATAGATCAATTTATATAATAGTTTGGTTCACACAGCGTATTAAGGTATAAACTATAGCTAAGAAACCACCACCACTGAGTCCATACATATGCTATCCAAAGCAAACGCATTATGGCTCAGTGCGATGTATTAACCCTTCCAAAGTATTAGAAATAGAGAATTGATATTCTGAAATAAAGGTGGTTAAAAATAGATAGACTGGATGGTTTGGGCAGCCAACCAAGTTGTACATTGTAGGAAAAGAAAAAAAGTATTCTTTCATCATTGAAACTGTGAAGGACTGAAGATGCATTGTTCTTGGCTTCTGAGTGAGCTCTAATGGTTAGCTAGACATTCCTGAAGGAGCAGAGACAGCCTTGCGGTGGAGATCAATCGCCAGATGGCGAGTTCTGGTTGGCAGATTCTCTCTGGACAAGAAGAGACTGTAAGATCGCCCATTTGCACTCCGGAGAGCTGTTCCTCATGAGGAGACCACAGGAATCATGGTTTCTGTGGTCAACTTGAGACTCAAGCAGCTGGGAGTCAAGGGATTTTAATTGTGCTCATAACAGCGGTGCAACCTGTAATGGACATAAGGTTGGCAAAAGCCTTGCTTTCTTAATCACTATTGGATATAATCAGTTTAAAGTTAAAGAGAGATCTTCCAATTGGCAGGATAAGGGAAAACTTCTTGGTGAGTCAACCATTTTTCTGGATCAAAGAAAGTGAAAGAAATAATGTTTTAAAGGATTTTAAACTATTAGCAAAAAGCTTAACAAGGATTTGATGTAAGAAAGTATAAATGGATAAGGGGGACAGTAATTATGAAAGATTAATTTTTGGTGAAAGTGCTTTTGAAAATATTAGAACTAAATAGATAAACAGACTTTGTGGGAATGTTGTTTGTTTAATATTAAAGAACGTAGACAATTGGTGGATTTTATAAAGCAAGAAGATAAAGGTAATACGAAACAGACTGTATGACTATAACTACAAAGTGTCAAATGCGACTAAAGTATTAAGGGCATAGAAAGGCAAAACAGAAAAAAGCGGGGGGGGGGGAGCCTGTCTTTTATTTTTTTACTTGTGTTATGGGATTGTTGCTTTTTTCCAGATAGCAACCAATTTTGACTTACAGACTCAAAAACACCAAAAAGCACTGGACCCTAGACACTTGGGTTTTTATGTCTCCCTATAAGGGTTAGGGAGGGTTTTTATTTACAATGCTATCCAAGAGATAAAAGTGATATGTACAAACGTGTGAGTTCTTTCTATAACTATTCTCTTAACCTACACTCTATTTACTAAACAATTATCCTATACTATATTCTACTATTATTGCTATTATTATACACTATTATTATACACTTCTACTACTAAGCTATATTCTACTACTACTGTTACTAGTATATTTCTGTTGCTCTTTTACTACTACTATTACTAGTATGCAGCAATGTTGTGCTCTTACAGGTCCATGTCTTCCTCTTGGATTTCTTCTTTTTCTTTTAATGGCCAGCTTGTAGATCTCTTGCACCTTTTTTACATCTTGCTTGGCTGCTATACACCCTTTCCTCTTGTTTGGACCAGGCTGTGCCGAAAACACCTTTATGGCTCTCAGCACAAGAAGCATTTTATACATGAGAAATAGGCAAAGATAAGTGGTTAACATATTGTGAGATACTAGAATTTTACCAAGAGGAATATAAAATAAAATCAAGGGAACAACTGATGGCAGAGGGACATAGCTGTCAATGACTTTCTTACTTACAGTTATCAGAAAGATTTAAAGTAGATTTTAAAAAATCATGGTAATGAACAATGTAAGACACAATTTAAAACAGAATTAAAACGTATCTTTTATTGAAATTTGAAACAAGATGAACAGGTCAAAGAATGTATAATAAAGTAGGCTAAAATCTTTGGTTATAATATATAGATGGAACAATGGGAAAATATGTGGCTGAAAGGGTTGAAATTTACATTAAAGAGAATTTTTATAAAATGATGTACCATTGGTATATGACACCAGAAAAATTATCTAGAATGTAAAGGTACTTCATATTTATGTTGGAAATGTGAACAGGAAGGGACATTTTATCATGCTTAGTGAACATGTAAAAAAGCTATAAAATTTTGGGCTCAAATACATACAGTGATTCAGAGGATTTTAAAGATAAATATTCAATTGAAACCAGAACATTTCCTCTTGTTACTGATGGATAAACAGTTAGAAAAGAGCCATGGAACACTGTGTTTATATATAACTGCAGCAAGATTATTGTATGCACAAAGGTGGAAAGATTTTGCAATACCTACAATGGAGGAATGGTTGGTGAAGATGACAGAACTTGCTGAAATGGCTAAATTGATTTGTTTGATTAAAGACAATATCTATATTTATCGGTGACTGGAAACCCCTTCTGGACTTCTTGTTTAAAAAAGAAAAAAATGAACTTGTGTTTTATGGTTTTAATGATTAGACAAGATGGACTATAGAAAGAAGACAGTCATTATGTAACCTCAGAGAGGCTAAAATAGAATTATACTTAAAACTGCTGTGAAGAAGTTAAGAAGCCACTTCTTTATATCTTTTTTCTACTTTTCTCCTACTTTTTCTTTTTTGCACTTTTAGCTTTTCCCTTTATTTCTCCATTTCTCTTCTTTCTTGTTCTACTTTAGGTTGTATTAGTTCTTATTATTGTTCTTAGAACTCTCAATAAAAATTATATATATAAAAAAAGAAACTGAAAAGGTATGGGTGAAGAGCTGAGTTTTCAGTAATGCCTCAAGGATGTTAGAGTAGGTACCTCTCAAATTTCAGAGATCCCATATATCTGGAAGGAACCAGTCAAAGAAGATTACTATAGATCTGGGACAAACAACCTTGTCTTTCTCAGACGCTTTGGAATACAATTCCTATAGTTCCTTGTCATTGGTTGTGACTGATGAATTTTAGAAGCCAACACATGTAAAGGGTATCAGGCTGATTTACCCTAATATAAATGGGTATTTGTTTCATGTAACAAAGTAATAAATCCAGTGTTTCTCTTTTTCAGCCCTAAATATCCTTCATGTTTGTTCTTCCAATATAACACACAACTAGGACCTCCGTACTACATCTTAGTGGATACCAACTTTATTAATTTTTCCATTAAAGCCAAATTGGATCTAGTGCAGTCAATGATGGATTGCCTCTATGCCAAATGTAAGTATCTAGATCTGTATCATTTTTCATCATATGATTCACATAACAGAGATACCAAATCATTGTTTTAATGCTTTTTTACTAGGTGTTTTATTATTAAATTTGCAAGTGCTTCCATATTTCCTAAAACAATAAGACTTGAGTATTATAAAAATCTTTATTTTTTTTTTTAAAAAGGAAGGGCATCCACCTAGGAAGATGTTATTAGATTACCAGCTGGTCCATATTCTTTATTTTTAGTAAACTGAATTATTTTGTTGTTCATTCACTTCTGATTCTTCATGACTAGATGGATATTATTTTCCCAGGACTGTATATGTGCAACTGCTTCTTTCAGTTCTTGTAATCTCAAACTTCTGTCATCACTGATACTATCTAGACACCTTATATTTGCCTACACCTTTTCCAATTGCCTTTGATTTCTCCAAGTGCAGGATTTTCTCTGGTGATTCTTGCCCTTGAATTATATGTCCAAAATATTTAAGCTTTAGATTCTTTATTAGTGCTATCAGTGAACAGTCTGGTTTTAGATCACATGTTTAATTGTTTGTTCCTCTTGTAGTCCATATTCTCAACAATTTTCTTCAGGCCCAAAAAGCATTTTCTTTATTTAGCCTTTCTGATGTCCACCTTTCATAGCCATATATTGCAACTGGGGAAACCATGTTGTCAAATGTAATTATTTTCTCTAGATCTGTCATAGTAGCAGTCACCATCTCTGGAACTTTTTGAGCCTAGGAAGATAAAATTCTGTTACTATTTCAACTTCTTCAATTCCTTCTTCTAAATACTTCTCTATCTACTTGCATTGGGTTGGCATGGCCTCTTGACATAATCTTTTTTTTTTTTTAATAATGAGCAGCAGACCAGCTTTTTGCATTCACCTTCAGCAAGAGATTCTTTAAGTCCTCCTTGCTTCCGGCCATCAGAGCGGTATCATTAGCATATCTGAGGCTGTTGATATTTCTCCCAGCAACTTCTATTTTTACTAATTCTTTATGCTTATGATACATTCTGCATATGAGCTAAATAAAGCAGGTGATTACATGGACAACTGATGTATTCATTTCCTAATTTTATACAATTTAGTCACTTGATATTCCATTCTAACTGCTGCTGCTTGGTCATCATACAAATTCATAAATACTCAGATGAGGTAGCCAGTCCAGCCATGTTTTTAAGGGCTATTCACAATTTATGGCATGGTATCTATATAGATATCTATATATTTCCTGCGTTCTGGAACATTCTGTGTTTTAAAGTGACTGTTATTGGTTTAAATGAAGAGTTATGTATAATCAGAATTCAGAAAAAGCAGGTGGTTTGTTCATTCTGTATGTCCTTTAGACCTAATCATATCTGGAATCAAATACTGGGACCAAGAAATTTGGAATACAATTATTCCAGACATCTCTAAACACAAACTATTACCATATTTTTCCGACTATAAGACGATACTTTTTTTCTAAAATCCTTACCCTAAAA